ATGAAAATCCAGAATTGCTAATTAATAAATAAATAAATAACACACACACACACACACACACACACATATATATATATATATATATATCAAATTAAAATAAAATATCAATACAATTTAAAACATGATTTTCTTCAAATAACAATTATAACAAAATATCATAATTAATAATATTATACAAAAATAATTTTCATAAATGATTATTACTAAAAGCCTTTAAAAATTCAATCAAACCCATTTAATTAATCAAAATAATTATAAGAAAATAATCTTCATAAATTCAAAAATAAATAATAATTATTCGTAGTATTAGTAGAAAAATTCGGGGTGTTACACACTAACCTATCGTCTGAGATTTTGAAAGAAGTTTCAGGTGCATTTAAAGCATATTAATGTGAGTAATCATGAGATGCATTGGTTTTTGGGAAAGTAACATATGGAGTAGTGGAAAACCTAAGACTTATCAGTGACAACTTTTCTTTCATTAGTCTTATCATCGTACCAAACTCATGACTAACTTTATTCTCTTCCCACGTCTTTAAAACTCAAATCATTTCACTTTTTTTTTCAATATCAATTATAAACCTCTCGTGGACCCAAACACAAGTTTCTCCTCCACCACCAAAATCGAAAACAAACATGTACTCAAACTACTCCTTCTTCATTGTCATGAACCTTATTCCAACTTAAAATACAAGTCCTTCCTCTTCAACATGTCTCGCTCTACCTTTTTTGGGATAAATTTTTATCTCAATAGATCCATTTAAATGGGTCAGACGGAGACTCTAGTTTCCATTTGCACAGTTATTATCACCAACTTATGAAGCCAACTCAGGTCTTCGACCAACTCTATCTAATGAATCTGTTGTCAAATCATTGTTATCCATTATCCTCTACTTCATCTACTTCTTCACCACCACCCACTCCACCTCTCCCTCCACTCACAACTGAAAAGGATTATGACAACATGATCGTTGACCTTTACCAAACTTTGCGTTACACACTAAGAAGACAAACACATACTTAAAGGAAGTTCAAATAGTTGTTTTTGTTATGATTGATTCTATTTTCTTCTAAACAACATGCTCTAAATAGTTTACATTGTATTAATTTGCTCTATATTATACAAGTTATATTTATCAAATCATGCATGTTTTCAGGAGGAGTCTCATATGCATTACATAAAGCATCTAGAGTAGATTCACATAATCTAATCATATATGCTTTGTTTGCTAAAATAGAAATACATGCTCTTCTTGGTAGCATATGCTTTGATATATCTCAACATATTTTTGTTCTTAATGAAGAGATAAAAACAAGCATTCTATGTTATAATGATCCCATATGTTATGATATGTTTTAATATGCTTTGATATAATTCAATATATTATGCTCTAATACACTCTGATATGCTTAATAAAAAGATAAAACAAGTATGCCTTGCTATATTTATACTATATGCTCTATTTTAGCTCTGAAATATGAAGACTATTTCACATAAAGTTTATATGCTTTATTTTAGCATTAAAATGTGAAGACTAGATCTCATAGAATATGTATGGTTACTACATTTGATATAATGGCTTAGTTTTTCTCATATGTTTTTTCAAATGATGATAGATCTAAGTTAATGCGAGATGAAACATGTCTTCAAAAAGATTATACTAATGAAAATCAAGTTGCTTGAATTATCTTTCAACGTCCTTGATAGTGTCTTACATGAGTCTAATAAAAACTTTTTTAAAAATTGCTTTTACACTTTTGTTAAAAAATATGTCTTAGGAATATTGAAAAAGTTTTTCTCTCTTTCAAGGTTGGAAAGGTCAAAATTTCTAAGAAAAATACATTTTGAAAGATGAAAAATCCTCTGAACTCAGGAAAACATTTTAAAAATTCCTTCGTCTTACTAAAGCAAATTTTTTTTCAAGAATAAAGGAAAATGAACATTTCATAAATACAAAAATGTGTTTGCCACCATCAAAAAGGGGGATATTGTTAAATCAAAAGGTGGTCTCCTAAACTCAAAGTTTTAATGCTAACAAACAAAGTGTTTTTACTTAAAAGAAATTTCTGGAAAAACATCTTTGAAACATATCTTTGAAAGGCTTATCAGATGAAGTATAAGATGCAAATCGTCTGTAAGATGTTGTTAATCTAACGAAGCATACGACCTATGTCATATACATTGAATATTTATCATTTATTGAGACTAACGGCAAAGTTTACTTTGAATGCTTCATTCCTTAATAGATCAAATCAAAACACCATCTCAGAACTCAAAAATCTGTTAAAGAGAAAAATCATGTTTTCCATCAAAACCAAATCCCTAAAATCACAAAGAAAAGTAAATAAAGTCACTACTATAGCTACTTTGCACTAACATTACTTCTGCAAGCTCCATTTATTGTGGAAAGTTGATAAGTAGCTTCCTTGATCAAATAAAAGATACCATTTGGTGAAATACATTTAATGCTAACATTACATAAGCCAAATAATCACCTATCATCACAAGGAAAGATGATGAAGATAGACGAAGCAAACTTTTAAGCTAGACTCAAAATGTTGCAATGGTTATCTTCTCTAAACTATTATATAAGAAGTTTCAAGCATAAGAGAGACAAAGATGCTAATTTTACATAGATACACTTGTATAGAAACCCATTATCTATAAATCTATTCCTTCTTGTAAACATTCATTGCTTTGTAATTGGTTGTATAACGTCTTAGTGAGACAAACACAACTTCTTTGTAACCTTCATAACCATTGTTATAAGATTGAGCCTAGAGAGGCTAGTCTGGAAAAGAATACTTGTTCATGAGCTTAGAGATGCTTGACTATAAAAGAATACTTGGTTGTTAAGCCCTGAGAGGCTTGTTATTAAAGAATACTATGGTAGTTGCTTGCAGAGGCATGCCAAAGAATACTTAGGGTTGAGCTAGAAATGGTTTTTTAAAACAATACTTGTATCTTTATTTAAAGATAACAAAACTTAATATGGTTGGATAGAGAACTAAACTTACCAATATAAAAATACTCAGTGTTCTATCTAACTACTTTTTTTTTTTTTGCTTCATCTAATTAGTGTTACTACTTCACTATAGAAAATGTACAAGTTTTTTTATACATTATTCAACTCCCTTCTAGTATTTATCTTTTCTCCACGATATGTGTAAGACCATTTCAATGAACCTCCCTTTTGCGTGTGAAATGAGCTTAAAGACAATCATACCTTACTATAGTAGTAACCATGGATAGAGTCCAAATATGGAACTCAACCATGTGATTATGCTTAAGCAATTACCAACCTAATTATGGTGTTTGGCAGTTTGAACAGATGAAATTTGATTTGTAAGATAACAATTAATTTAAAGCAGAAAACAAAACAAAAATTGAGATTTAAATATTAAAATCCCTTGGATTGTGACTTATTGTCCCTGATCCCCAAAGTTAAATTTCATGAACTATAAAACATTGTCACCAATTTACTTCTAACATTGTTGAAAACATTTTAGCTCCGAGAATTCAACAGTTTTTACTTTGAAAAAAAAACCCAAAATGATCTAAAAAGATTTATACTAAAAACAAATAAACACACAGAAGTAAATTAATAAATTAATTCAATTAGAAATTAAGAAAACAACTTGATCATGAAAATTTCTAGAATTCAATTATTTTAGAGTTCAGTTAATAAAAGAGTTTGATCATGGACTTTCAATTAATTAGGATAAAAATTAAAAACAATAAAATAATATGAAAATTAACAAAAAGGAATTAATTTAATTCATCATTGGGGTTTCACAAGAAATAATTACATCACAATCCTAAAATAGGAGAAAGAGTGAAAATATAAAACTACAACACAAAACTCAATCTTACAATGTGCTCTAGACATCCTTATTTGCATTCAAAATTAAGTTAAACTTTTAAGCATGACTATACATCTTAACAAGCATGACCGTGCCCAACAACATGGACGTGCTTCATCAAAATAGGAAGTACAAGCATTCTTTGTCGTCCAAGGGTGATCTAAAACAAGTTGGCAAGCACGATTGGCTTTGTGACATGGTTGAGCTTCTACTTGAAGCATGGTCGTGCATTAGACAATCACGGTCATGCATGACTTTAACCTTCATATTTGTTACATTTTATCCTTTAATTGTACTAATTTCATCTCTTTTTTTTTCTTGTTTGTTCCACACTTAATAAAAGAAGTGAAGTATTTTCAAAGACTTAACATTAAATTAAGGAAAAATTACAATGAATATTAGGTTATTATGTAACATTTTGATGGTTTAACACCCACCTTGATAATATAACCATGTGTTAAGTGGTTTAACCCATTTCGCGCACCTTATAACTAATTTTAACAACATTAAATACATATTCAAGACCTATAGATATTGTACTAAAATCACTAGCTAACTTGAGCATTGGAATGTCTTTTGTAGGTCCATCTTCATTGCAACTCAATCAACCAGAAGGGATAACCTCAACTAGCTCTCATTAAGCCTTGGTCAAAGTCCAACCCAAACATCTTTCAAAGGCAATTTTAAACACCTCAAAGAGCACATTGACAATGTCTTTATTAATTTGATAAAATTATTTCTCATTGTTAGACATGATTCATGACAAGTATGACAAACATACAAATAACAAACAATAATAGGTACATATATCATTCTCACAAATTTAGATGCCAAATCACCTTGGACCTCAATTAAAATCCAACTTCATATTGTAGTGCTATAAGATTTTACCATAACCCATAGGTCTCATTAACAAGACATTTCAGTTTAGTTGACTTATATATTGAAATTGGATCAGTTAATTCATAAAATAATGGATATTTTGGAGTAATTGGGCAAATAATTAAAATAATTTGTGAATATTATTTATTTTAATTCCAAAAAAAAATATTTTTTAATAAAAATAATAAAATTCAATGTTGACATTAATTTTTCTCGGTAGACACATGAAAACAAAAAGCTTTAACCTAGTCGTGGAAACTAAGGCATATTGAGAAGATGTTTTATGCTCCAAGATTTAACTTATATCACCTAATATTTAATTCCAAAAATGCTAACTAATGATCTTCATTCACCATTATCATAAACTAGTCTTTCTATATGTAACACCATTCATCCAAGAGCTACAAAATATATTTCAAAAAAGTACAACATAGAACTACGGAAAGTAAAAATAATAGGGTATGATTCAATCCTAAACCAAGAAAAGATAAACAAAACAAAACAAAAAAAAACACTAAATTGCATAATATAGCCTTCATAAGTATCACCTATTACGAATATATATATATATGAACAATAGTTTCTTTATGATGAGTATCACATGTAAAGAATCATATATCGTTGCTATTATTGGCTATTTCTACTATCGAAGCCCATGAAGTCACAAAGATTCTTCCTAGAAGAGGAGGCATGCCAACTTGTAGCTGGTGTTGTGCCTATTGGAGTGCAGAATTAGTCAATCGTTGCAAGGCTAAATAGGTAGCCCAAATAATGGTTACCAGAAATAGCACTAAAGGAGTACTTCGTGCCCTAAGGCGTTGATGTTCTTCCATGAATAAATTCATGAGTTCTACAATCACATAGTGTAGCCATGTAAATATTCGCGAGTTAAATTTGAAATGAATAGTCTACCAGGTTCACAAATTTCAAGAAATATTTTGTTTTGAAAAGTATGCATTAGGATTCTCCGATTTTATCATGGATGATTAAAAAAAAGGTAAAATTGGCATGCTTGAAGATTGATGATGCAATGTTCATAAGTGTAACCATTGAAGCTTGTTTATTAATTGAATGCAATAGTAAATGATTGATAAAGGGGGAATAACACATTCATTTTTAAAGGCATAAACAAATATGAAACTAGACATACCTTCATTAAGTTGATCTTGTTGGTCCAAAGCTTCTGAATACAATTGGTGCTCGACAAACAAATTTGCATATTCTCTCTGCACCATATTAGACCGATAACTTATAAACAAAAATTAAAAGGCTTCAAATTATATTTATATCACATGACTATTTTTAAACCTTAAATATCTTTTGTAGTTCACTTTACAAATCCCTGACACTGAGTAATCGATTAAGACTTTTCATGTGCATCTAGTGCCAATGAGGTACACACGCATATCAAGCAATGACTAATTAGTATTGAGGACTACACTTTGGTAATTTTGTTCTTATTTGTGTGATCAAAGTAAAATGCAGCTATAAATTTCCATGAATAACCTTTGTTTATTTTAAATTTACGTAAACATCCTTGAGAATTTTGAAAATTTACTCAAACTTCCTCTGTTTCATTTTGTTTTATTTACCATGATACCAAAGAAAAGAAAAAGGTAAATCTATACAACTACACATTAATATAATGCTGGGGAGCTCCATCAAACATCAACAAGAAAGTGAAAGTTAGCAAAAGTTAGGACTCATGATCGTAAAACAAAAAGAAAAGGAAAGGACATACGTTAAGCATGGTAATTTGGGTAGAGAGGATAGTTTCTTGAGTTCTAAGAGATTGCATCTCCCTCTTCAACTTAGTTGCATAACGAATCTTCCTCTTCAACATAGTTGTGTAAAGAATCTTCCTCTTCAACATAGTTGCATAACGAATATTCCTCGACTTTGATCGAATAGTTGATTTATTAGTAAAAATCCGGTAAACACATAACATTCAAAATCCAAAAAATAAAACGAAGGAAGAAAGGTTATTATGAATAGTTTATATATTTATAAATGAAATAAGGTAGCAATTTAGGGAAGAAAAAAAAGGTGGATGAGGTCTATAACATATAAAAAATGTTAAGGGCACTAATTAAGGAACCAAAAAAAGAAAGTTATTTATATAACTTTAGTATTGTTTTCAATGAACATTTTCAACATATTGATTCCTTAACTAATGCCATAAAGACATTGGTCAGCACTACCCATAAGATATTTGGTCTTATCACTTTCTTTTAAAGGGTTAAAATAATGAGGTAAATGGGTTCTTACAACAACACCAATAACAACAATAATAATAGTAATAATAATCTATAATTAATTATAACAAAAATGATATCATTACCCATTTGGTTTACATTTTTTAAGATGTTTTATTCTTCAACTCAAATTGTACCAATCATCTTACTACTTTTGTAAATGTAAGTTAATTATTTCTCATTAAATAAATAAAATAATTTTACATTGTTAAAAAAAAAGCATTTGATATTTTAAATATTTTTTTATATTTTGAAAAGGCACAATCAATTAATGCCTTATCAAAAAAAAAACATATAGGTAGGGAGACAATCACTATAGTGTTTAACTATCTAATTGTAATTAGAAATACTAACATACAAAAGGCACTCCATGCCTTTGTAAATTATTATTTTTTAAATAATAAATAATAAAAAAAATATAATAGTGGATGATTATTAAAAATATATGTGATTTTGGAGTGAAATTTACAAAAAAGAAAAAAAAACACTTTTATTTGTAAAAGAGTATTTATAAGCCTAAAATTGGATAAAAATCATGTACACCAAAAAGTTCAATCCCTTTATTATAACTAGTGAGATCGGAGTACTTCATGCCTCTGTTAAAAATAAAATAAAAATAAAAATTAAGTAATAAAAATATATTAGTCTAACTAGTGTTATAATTAGTCTATTAGTTTCAAATTTTTGAATTTGATTAAAAATATTATTTTTTCTAATTTTTAAAATAGAAGAGTATAACAGTCAATAAAATGTGGAAATCAAGATGGTTACTAAAAAAAAGTATCTCTTTTATATATTTGTAGAGATTATAGATTCTAGATAACTTCATATAATTTATAACTCACATTATTTTCAACAAAAACAACATATTTAAAATCATCCATGTATTACAAAATTGAAAAGATATAAATAATATTAAATCAAGATTATAACAAGATTAAGCACATAAACTAAAAAATAATTTAAACTACTCACAAATTTATTATTTTTAATCGTTTAAGACAAGAGAAAAGAAAAAAAAAAGAAAAAAGAAAATAAATAAAATAAAAAACCTGTTAGATCTAGCTTTCTTTGGATCAACAAGAGCTAATTCAGGGAGTTTGTCAAGGATCAGATCTTTCCTCTTACAATCCATCATCTCCATTCCTGAGTCTACCTTAAACAACTTAGTCGAGGGTTCACCCGTTGAGTTATGTCGTTGGTGCTCCATCCTTTGCTCACTGCCACTTTTCCCAATGATTCTCTCATTTTCACCATTAGTGAACCCAAAATTGTAGAAAAAGTTAGAGTCCACCGACAAGCTTCGAAGGTGCTTGGCATGGGGAATTCCTGTGAACCTCTTCCGCTTATTAGACTTGTTCAAATCAATAACCATAGGAATGATGTCATTAGTGTCCAAAGATGGAAATGAGAGTGACAAAGGGAAGTTGGAGTTGACAAGATTAGAAGTGTTGAAGGGGGGAATGTTTGTGATGAAGCGAAAACAATTGTCGGAGTGAGAACGATGGTGGTGGGACCCGCACTTTAACATTTTCTTTGTGTCCATTGTTGGCAACGAGTTTCCAATGAACTTCTAATCCATGGAAAAACTATAATCAAAAGTTTCTCTTTTCTTTAAAATTTTTCTTTCTTTTTACTATTTTCTCTTCTGAGCTTTTAAGGTTTAAGAGAGAGAGGGGAAGAGAGAGAGAGATAAAGAGAAGTTACTCAAGTGTTTGATTGAGGTGTGGTTGGGTCTTTAAATATTTTCAAACACTACTAGAAAAGTGTCATTTTCTTGCGAATTTTTCTACAAAAAAATATTCGCAGAAATTTTTTGCGAATTTATTTGTGAAAAATAATTTATAGATATTTCTTACAAATTTTGCTACAATTTTAATAATCATAGAATTTTTTTTCATGGTAAAAATTTGTAGAAAATATTGTAAGAATTTTATTTTGTTTCTTGCAAATTTTCTTGTAAAAATAAATTCGCAAGTAATGTTTACTAAATGGTAGAAAAATTTTGTAGGTAACTTTTCCTATGGATTTTCCTGCAAATTTTAATCCGCAGGAAATATAAAAAATATTTAAATTTATAAGTTTAATATTAAAAAAAAACTTCAAGTCTCACATTGATTGAAAATAAAATAATTAAAGAGTATAAAAGTTGGGGCAACACTTACCTTACAAGTTGATTTGTATGCTTGAGTGTTAGGCTTATAATCTACAATCTTAGAATTTAAAAGATTATGTATCACATGTTGGAGGCATAAAAACAAATGCTTCGGATGAATTCATTGTGAGTATTTAAAAGTTGAAGATTTATTGATAGAATTTATAGAAATTTCTTTAATTTTTTTCGTAAGAAATATTCCTGCAGAATTTCTTGCGAAAAAATTCGCAGGAAACTTTCTTGCGAATTTTTCTGCAAATTTTTTTTTGCAAGAAATTTTCCTGCAAATTGTTTTTTGCAAGAAACTTTCTTACGAATTTTTTTCGCAAGAAATTGTGCTGAAAAATTTCCTGTGAATTTTAAAATTCGCAAAAATATATTATTCACGAAGGTATTACCTGTAGATAAAATTTCGCAGAAAAATTTGTAAGAATAACGTTTCCTGCGAATTTTCAAGAAAAATTCGCAGAAAAAGTCGCATGTAATAAGAGAAATTCTAGTAGTGAAAAGATCAAATTCCTTTAGCATTTTCATTAAATAGTTTTATTTAAAAGAAAAATAAATTACCATATAAATGTTATTAAGTACTCTTTTTAAAAGCATTTAAAAGTATTAATAATAACGTTAATTGTTTGTGATTTAATTGTAACTAATGAAACCAATAAACTCTTGTTGTTCGATTCAAAGTAACGTTTAAAGAAACCATTAATAAGATAAGAATAAAAAGATAGAGACAAAAAAGACAGAGCAGCAAGAAGGTTAACATGCAAGATTTATGTATTCAATGATAAAAAAAATATTAAAAAAATATAAAAAAAGGCTAGTTGTATTGGAAAACTAGGGGTAAAGCTTTAATAAACTAAATAGATGGAGAGAAAAAAAACCAAGAGGAAAAAAGGTTAGCTGGCATAATATATTTAATGGAAAAAAATGGTAGACGTTTTCGAAAAAGGTGGGGAGGTTCTTATTATGCCAATTAACACAGGAAATATGCAGAAATAGAGACAATTTGACATAGAGGAAAGTGTTGAGTTTGAAACCCTCTCCAAGAAGTAGTTTTAATTTTGATGTAGCTTTGTTTAAATTTGCTTCATTTTATATTTTTGACCTATATTAAAAGGATATTGTATTGATTGTTTTATAAAACTTAGGCTTGTATGTGTTTGCTTGTTATGATTGTTATGATTTCAAAAACTTATCTTGTTTTAGCAAACATAACTCAATGTTTCTCATTTTATGTGAAAACATAATGTAATAGATTATCAAGAGTTGGTAATAGATTACAAAGTGTTTTAACATTAAATGAAACTTGATTCATTCAAAAGAATTTAATATTAAGTCATGTAATAGATTATCATTTCAGATAATAGATTACTGAAACTTAGTTTTGAAGCAGAATTCGAAGTCCTCTTTGTGATAATCGATTACTAATTGAGGTAATAGATTATCATGGTGACTTTTGAGTGAAAACAGGTGATTTTGGCATCGAGTTAATCGATTACCCTCCTTAGTAATCGATTACCTCTGCATAAAATTGAGTTTTATGTTTGCTAAAGCTCGTGATAATTGATTACCATTCTTGGTAACAGATTACCTCTGTTTTATAATCAATCTAATTTTAGTTTTTAAAAGTCTGGTAATAGATTACCTTCACAGGTAATAGATTATAGTTGTTACAAACTTTTTAAATACTAAAATCCTCTTTGCACTATAAATATAACTCTTTTCGAAAACTTAAAAAAAGGATCAAATATATTTTGGAAAACATTTTTAGAACAAGAAAATATCACATACTTTTCAAAAAGAATACAAGTGCTAAAGATTGATTAAAGAACATGAGTTCTTGAAAAATTTCAAGAAGTTTATGACCTAATCTTTGAACAATATCATTCTACACATTTTAACGAGGAATAATTATACATCACAATCGTAGAATAGGAGAAAGAGTGAAAATATAAAACTACAACACAAAAATCAATCTTACAATGTGCTCTAAACATCCTTATTTATATTCAAAATTAAGACAAACTTTTAAGTATGACTATACATCTCAACAAGCACGACCGTGCTCAACAACATGGGCGTGCTTCATCAAAACAAGAAGTATAAGCGTGCTTTGTCGTCCAAGGGTGCTCTAAAATAAGTTGGCAAGCATGATTGTGCTTCATGACATGTTATGCTTTTACTTGAAGCATGGACGTCGTGCATTAGACAATCATGGTCATGCATGACTTTAACCTTCATATTTGTTACATTTTATCCTTTAATTGAACTTACTTCATCTCTTTTTTGTATTTTTCTTGTTTGTTGCACACTTAATAAAAGAAGTGAAGTATTGCCAAAAAAATTGGCATTAAATTAAGGCAAAATTACAATGAATATTCGATTATTATGTAACATTTTGATGGTTTAACACCCACCTTGATAATAGAACCTTGGTTAAGTGGTTTAACCCATTTCATGCACCTTATAATACTAATTTTAACAACATTAAATACATATTCAAGACCTATAGTTATTGTACTAAAATCACTAGCTAACATAAGCATTGGAATGTCTTCTGTAGATATCTTGCTCATCTTCATTGCAACTCAATCAACTAGAAGAGATAACCTCAACTAGCTCTCCTTAAGCCTTGGTCAAAGTCCAACCCAAACATCTTTCAAAGAAAATTTTAAACACCTCAAAGAGAACATTGACAGTGTCTTTATTAATTTGATAAAATCATTTCTCATTGTTAGACATGATTCATGACAAGTATGACAAACATACAAATAACAAACAATAATAGATATATATATCATTCTCACAAAGTCGGATGCCAAATCACCTTGGGCCTCAGTTAAAATACAACTTCATATTGTAGTGCTATAAGATTTTACCATAACCCATAGGCCTCATTAACAAGACATTTCAGTTTAGTTGACTTATATTTTGAAATTGGATCACTTAATTCATAAACTAATGGATATTTTGGAGTAATTCGGCAAATAATTAAAATAATTTGTGAATATTATTTATTTTAATTCCAAAAAACTATTTTTGAATAAAAATAATAAAATTCAATGTTGACATTAATTTTCATCTCAGTAGACTCATGAAAACAAAAAACTTTAACCCAATCGTGGAAACAAAGGCATATTGAGAAGATGTTTCATGCTCCAACATTTAACTTATATCACCTAATATTTAATTCCAAAAATGCTAACTAATGATCTTCATTCACCATCAATCATAAACTAGTCTTTCTATATGTAACATCATTCATCCAAGAGCTACAAAATATATTTCAAAAAAGTACAACATAGAACTACGTAAAGTAAAAATAATAGGGTATGATTCAATCCTAAAGCAAGAAAAGATAAAAAAAAACAAAAAACAAAAACAAAAACAAAAAATAAAAAATAAAAAACACTAAATTGCATAATATAGCCTTCATAAGTGTCACCTATTATGAATATATATATGAACAATAGTTTCTTTATGATGAGTATCGCATGTAAGGAATCATATATCGTTGCTATTATTGGCTACTTTTGCTATCGAAGTCCATGAAGTCACAATGATTCTTCCTAGAAGAGGAAGCATTCCAACTTGTAGCTGGTGTTGTGCCTATTGGAGTGTAGAATTAGTCAACCATTGCAAGGCTAAATAGGAAGCCCAAATAATGGTTACCCAAAATAGCGCTAAAGGAGTACTCCATGCCCTAAGGCGTTGATGTTCTTCCATGAATAAATTCATGAGTTCTACAATCACATAGTGTAGCCATGTAAATATTCGTGAGTTAAATTTGAAATGAATAGTCTACCAGGTTTACAAATTTCAAGAAATATTTTGTTTTGAAAAGTATGCATTAGGATTCTCCAATTTTATCATGGATGATTAAAAAAAAAGGTTAAATTGTCATGCTTGAAGATTGATGATGTAATGTTCATAAGTGTAACCATTGAAGCTTGTTTATTAATTGAATCCAATAGTAAATGATTGATAAAGGGGGAATAACACATTCATTTTTAAAGGCATAAACAAATATGAAACTAGACATACCTTCATTAAGTTGATCTTGTTTGTCCAAAGCTTCTAAATACAATTGGTGTTTGACAAACAAATTTGCATATTCTCTCTGCACCATATTAGATAACTTATAAACAAAAATTAAAAGGCTTCAAATTATATTTAATATCCCATGACTATTTTTAAACCTTAAATATCTTTAGTAGTTCACTTTACAAATCCCTGACACTATGTAATCGATTATGACTTTTCATGTGCATCTAGAGCCAATGAGGTACACACGCATATCAAGCAAAGACCAATTAGTATTGAGGACTACACTTTGGTAATTTTGTTCTTATTTGTGAGATCAAAGTAAAATGCAACTATAAATTTCCATGAATAACCTTTGTTTATTTTAAATTTATGTAAACATCCTTGAGAATTTTGAAAATTTACCCAAACTTCCTCTGTTTCATTTTGTTTTATTTACCATGGTTCCAAAGAAAAAAAAAAGGTAAATCCATACAACTATAAATTGATGTAATGCTAGGGAGCTCCATTAAACATTGACAAGAAAGTGCAAGTTACCAAAAGTTAAAAGTCATGATCATAAAACAAAAAGGAAATGACATACGTCAAGCATGGTAATTTGGGAAGAGAGGATAGTTTCTTAAGTTCCTAAGAGATTGCATCTTCCTCTTTAACTTAGTTGCATGACGAATCTTCCTCTTCAACATAGTTGTGTAAAGAATCTTCCTCTTCAACATAGTTGCATAACGAATATTCCTCGACTTTGATCGAATGGTTGATTTCCTATTAGTAAAAATCTTGTAAACACATAACATTCAAAATCCAAAAATTAAATGGAAGGAAGAAAGGTTAATATGAATAGTTTATATATTTATAGTCAATGAAATAAGGTAGCAATTTTGGGGAAAAAAAAGGTGGATGAGGTCTATAACATATAAAAAATGTTAAGGGCACTAATTAAGGAACCGAAAAAAGAAAGTTATTTATATAACTTTATTATTGTTTTCAATGAATATTTTCAACATATTGATTCCTTAACTAATGTCATAAGGACATTAGTCAGCAATACCCATAAGATATTTGGTCTTATCACTATCTTTTAAAGGGTTAAAATAATGAGGTAAATGGGTTCTTACAACAACACCAATAACAACAATAATAATAGTAATAATAATCTATAATTATAACAAAAATGATATCATTACCCATTTGGTTTACATTTTTTAAGATGTTTTATTCTTCAACTCAAATTGTACCAATCATCTTACTACTTTCGTAAATGTAAGTTACTTATTTCTCATTAAATAAATAAAATAATTTTACATTCTTAAAAAAAATAGGATTTGGTATTTTAAATATTTTTTTATATTTTGAAAAGGCACAATCAATTAATGCCTTCTCCAAAAAATAAAAAACATATAGGTAGACAGATAATCACTATAGTGTTTAACTATCTAATTGTAATAACAAATACTAAAATACAAAAGGCACTCCATGCCTTTGTAAATTACTTTTTTAAAATAATAAATAATAAAAAAATATATATTAATGGATGATTATTAAAAATATATGTGATTATGGAGTGAAATTTACAAAAAAAAAAAAACACTTTTATTTGTAAAAGAGTATTTATAAGTCTAAAATTGGATAAAAATTATGTACACCAAAAAGTTCAATCCCTTTATTATAACTAGTGAGGTCGAAGCACTTCATGCCTCTGTTAAAAATAAAATAAAAATAAAAATTAAGTAATAAAAGTATATTAGTCTAACTAGTGTTATAATTAGTCCATTAGTTTCAAATTCTTGAATTTGATTAAAAATATTATTTTTTCTAATTTTTAAAATAGAAGGGTATAACAATCAATAAAATGTGGAAATCAAGGTGATTACTAAAAAGAGTATCCCCTTTATATATTAGTAGAGATTATAGATTCTAGATAACTTCATATAATTTGTAACTCACATTATTTTCAACAAAAACAACATATTTAAAATCATCCATGTATTACAAAATTGAAAAGATATAAATAATATTACATCAAGATTATGACAAGATTAAGCACATAAACTAAAAAATAATTTAAACTACTCAAAAATTTATTATTTTTAATCGTTTAAGACAAGAGAAAGAAAAGAAGAAAAAAAAACCTGTTAGATCGAGCTTGTTTTGGATCAACAAGAGCTAGTTTAGGGAGTTTATCAAGGGTCAGATCTTTCCTCTTATAATCCATCATCTCCATCCCTGAGTCTACCTTAAATAACTTAGTCGAGGGTCTGTCCACTGAGTTATGTCGTTGATGCTCCACCCTTTGCTCACTTCCACTTTTCCCAATGATTCTCTCATTTTCACCATTAGTGAACCCAAAATTGTAGAAAAAGTTAGAGTCCACGGACAAGCTTCGAAGGTGTCTGGCATGGGGAATTCCTGTGAACCTCTTCTGCTTTTTAGACTTGTTCAAATCAACAACCATAGGAATGATGTCATTAGTGTCCAAAGATAGAAATGTGAGTGACAAAGGGAAGTTAGAGTTGACAAGATTAGAAGTGTTGAAGGGGGGAATGTTTGTGATGAAGCGAAAGCAATTGTCAGAGTGAGAATGATGGTGGTGGGACCCACACTTTAACATTCGCTTTGTGTCCATCACCGACAACGAGTTTCCAATGAACTTCTGATCCATGGAAAAACTAAAATCCAAAAGTTTCTTTTCTCTTTAAAAATTTTTCTTTCCTTTTACTATTTTCTCTTCTATGTTTTTAAGGTTTAAAAGAGAGAGGGGAAGAGTGAAAGAGATAGAGATAAGTTATTCAAGTGTTTTTTTTAAAGATAGGAAACATTACAAAGACGGTCGCAATGAAAATTGAACCTAGGTCCTCATGTTTTTAGCTACCCCTCCCCTCCCAATCACTAGGTTAACCCTAATGGTTATTCAAGTGTTTGATTGAGTATGGTTGGGTATTTAAATATTTTTAAAAGATCAAGCTCCTTGAGCCATTTTCATTAAATAGTTTTATTTAAAAGAAAAATAAATTACCATATAAATGTTATTAAGTACTCTTTTTAAAAGCATTTAAAAGTATTAATAATAACGTGAATTGTTTGTGATTTAATTGTAACTAATGAAACCAATAAACTCTTATTGTTCGATTCAAAGTAACGTTTAAAGAAACCATTAATAAGATAAGAATAAAAAGATAGAGACAAAAAAGACAAAGCAGCAAGAAGGTTAACATGCAAGATTTATGTATTCAATGAAAAAATAAATAAAAATAAAAAAAGGCTAGCTGTATTGGAAAACTAGGTGTAAAGCTTTAATAAACTAAATAGATGGAGAGAAAAAAAACCAAGAGGAAAAAAGGTTAGCTAGCATAATATATTTAATGGCAAAAAATGGTAGACGTTTTCGAAAAAGGTGGGGAGGTTCTTATTATGCCAATTAACATAGAAAATATGCAAATATAAAGACAATTTGACATAGAGGAAAGTGTTGAGTTTGAAACCCTCTCGAAGAAGTAGTTTTAGTTTTGATGTAGCTTTGTTTAAATTTTCATTTATATTTTTGACCTATGTTAAAAGGATATTGTATTGATTGTTTCATAAAACTTAGGCTTGTATGTGTTTGCTTGTTATAATTGTTATGATTTCAAAAACTTATCTTGTTTTAGAAAACATAACTCAATGTTTCTCATTTTATGTGAAAACATAATGTAATAGATTATCAAGAGTTGGTAATAGATTACAAAGTGTTTTAACATAAAATGAAACTTGATTCATTCAAAAGAATTTAATATTAAGTCATGTAATAGATTACCATTCAGATAATAGATTACTGAAACTTAGTTTTGAAGTAGAATTCGAAGTTCTCTCTGTGATAATCGATTACTAATCGAGGTTATAGATTACCATGGTGACTTTTGAGTGAAAACAAGTGATTTGGGTATTGAGTTAATCGATTAACCTCCTTAGTAGCCGATTACCTCTGCATAAAATTGAGTTTTATGTTTACTAAAGCTCGTGATAATTGATTACCATTCTTGGTAACAGATTACCTCTGTTCTATAATCAATCTAATTTTAGTTTTGAAAAGTCTAGTAATAGATTACCTTCACAGGTCATAGACTATAGTTGTTACAAAAATTTTAAATACTAAAATCCTCTTTGTACTATAAATATAACTCTTTTCGAAAACTTAAGAAAAAAAAGATCAAATATATTTTGGAAAACATTTTTAGAACAAGAAAATATCACATACTTTTCAAAAAGAATACAAGTGCTAAAGATTTATTAAAGAAGATGAGTTCTTGAAAAATTTCAAGAAGTTTATGAACTAATCTTTGAACAAGATCTTTCTACACATTTTAGGTGTACCCTTTTCGATCTTTAATCTTTGTTTGAACTTTTGGTTGTGTTACTCTTTGAGATAGGATGTCTCAAGAAAGAGTTAAGAGAAATCTTGAGATAGGTTTCTCTCAAGTAGATTTTTGAGGTGCAAGAATTCTTTGTTTGTGTAATCTTGTGGGATCAAGATTATGTGATTTAGATTATGATTATAATATTGCTTGTACTTGGTGTTTGTAAACAATATTATAGTGGAATAACTGGATTTAGTGGGGAGCTAAGTCTAAAACTGGATGTAGGCCTTTGTATGGCTGAATCAGTATAGATCATTGTGAAAATTCTCTCTTAACCTTCATACCTTATTATAATTCTTGTTAAATTGAAAACAAAAAAAAATCTCAATAATTTCAAAAAACTGTTTTCTTGAATATTATCAATTGCTTATTTGAAAATCTGAGTATGATATATGCAATTTGGTAATAAAGAAAAAAGGTAATTACTAAAATCAATTTGGATTACAATATTTTTTCCGCTGTGTATTAAATCTGATTAATTATATTCTTGATTATATTAGTAATCTAAATGTGATTAATTAAAATTGGTCTAAAGAAAGTAAAGAAATTAGAAAGAGAGTTTGAAAGACCATTAGAAGTCGTCTAAGCGAAGAATCTATTCAACTCCCTTCTAGATTTGTGTTCTACCCAAGACCAACAGAAAGAAGGTTAGCAAGCATGGTTCATGTACTTAGTGGTAGAAAAAAAAGTTAGCTAATTATGAATAACTAGGTCAAGGTTTTCAGTAAATTTGTTTTCTCAATATCTTTCCTAAGGTCAAGGTAATGGGTCCATTTTGTCCTCACAACTATATGTTGGTCCCAGGTAGAACACGAATCTAGAAGGGGGGGTTGAATAGATTCTTCGCTTAGATGGCTTCTAATGGTCTCTCTTGCTTTCTTGTTAATTTCTTTCTTTCTTATACAACTTATTACTAAACACATTCAGATTACAAACCAAACAAGATACAAAGTATATTAGAATTATTACACAGCGGAATAGAAGTTGTAATCCAAATTGATTTTAGTAATTACCTTCCTTCACTTTATTACCAGATTTCATATATCATATCATATTTCACAAATCAACAATCTATAATATTTAAGAAAACGTTTCTTTAACAATCTTGAAATTCTTTTTATCAATTCAATATGAATTATAACAATATATGAAGGTAAAGAGAGAAATAGCAAAATGATCTATACTAATTCAGCCATACAAAGACCTACATCCGGTTTCAGACTTAGCTCCCCGCCAAATCTAGTCTTTCTACTATAATATTCTTTACAAACACCATGTACAAGAAATATTATAATTAGAAAACACAATCACCCACTACAAGAAATTTTGAAATTACAGACAACCAAAATCCGTGGGTAATCCAAAAAATTTGTGGATAACACTTCATTTCCGACGGATTACAGACGGACAATAATCCGTTGGAAAATTACTCTTCTGAAACATTTACCGACGGATTATAATCTATGGGTAACTTTCCGACGGGATTACTCACGAATTTTATCCGTGGGTATTGTTGATAATATTTAAAAAAATATTTTGAAATTATATTAAATAACATCCTTATTTAGTGCAACCATGTCTCATATCTAACCTTTCAGCAACTCCACTCCATGACACTTCACACAACTCCTCGTCGGTCATAACCCTTCACCAATCAGAGCTCTCTATGGGTAACCATTTTTGAGATATTCGAATGCTTTTAGGATCAAAGATTGACCTCACAAACCCCACAAATTAACACAAGACTTTTCAGCGTGCCTTGTTGTCACTTGCACATTTTTCTAGAAAACTTTCCAAAAGGTCACCCATCTCTAAATTATCTCATGTCAAGCACGCTTAACCGTGAAGTTCTTAAAGAATAAGCTACCAAAGAGTAGATGCATCTCATTGGTATAAATAGTACAAATTAATTCCTTTAAGTCATTTTCAACTATACAATCTCATACTTGTATAATCTTTGAATCTCTCTCATTCCAATCTATTTCACAAATTACAATATAATATAATACTATAATTTTTTATTTAAATTAAAAAATATTAATATTTTAGTTTGTGTATTTCACAAGTGACATTTTTATTTATTATAATTAAAATTTATAATAAATTATATATAAAAATAAATATTATAGTTAAATCAATAAATCATATTTAAAATTTGTATAAATATATATTAAATGAAAATTAGTAACTAATTAAAGAATAATTAACTTTTATATACAAAGCACAAATGTCTTTCTTGTACCATAGCATTTTTAGAGACTTTTCTTTAATTATAAGAATTTTATATATTTTTTTTTAAATTATCTAATTTAGTTTTTATTTATCATTATTACTTATAAATTAATTTTATTATTTTTAACAAAAATTATTAATAAAAAATAATTACCCACGGATTTATCTGTCGGTAATTACCTACGGATAAATTCATGGGTAATTACCCATGAATACATTCGTGGGTAATTATCTAATTTAATTTTTATTTATCATAATTACTTATGAATTAATTTTATTATTTTTAAAATAAATTATTAATAAAAAATAATTACCCACAGATACATCCGTTGATAATAAAGTCAGTAATTTTGTGGGTATTGTTGATGTTATTTTTAAAAAATTATTTTAAAATTGTATTAAATAATAATCTTATTTTATTAAAAATAATATAGTTCAAAATTGGTAAAATTATTATAAATGTTAAGAAATTATCTTTTAATTTTAGACTATCATGCATCAATATCATTTCACTAATTATATATTTCTCAATTTAAATAAAATTAACTATATAATATTAAAATATATTGATAGTAAATTATTATTTTATACTATCATTTAATTATAAATTTTATATATATAATAGTTGGTATGGTAAATTAATTAGCATGAGAAAATTAGTTAAGTATTTAAGAATTTAATTTATTAATCTTTTATTATTAAATTTTTTAAAGTTATCGACGAACTTTTTTTTTTCCATTTTTTATGAACAATGTTTTAGACAGATAATCCGTGGGAAATATCTGTTTGAAACATCATAATTTTCCCACACAAAAAATGTGTGGGTGATATCCATATGAAATTTCAGACGGAAAAAATATGTGACTAATATTCGTCGGAATCAATTATTTTTCAAACGGACGCATATCCGTCGAAAAAATCCGTCGGTAATGTTATTTTTCATACAGATATTTATCTGTGAGAAA